TTTGTGGGCCCCCAACCCTGACCTCAGGTCCCAGGTACTGGAAAGTGAGCATTCAAGATTTTAGAATGTTTAGAGCTCCAGAGCAGAGATATAAGATGATATGAGCCTCAATTTTCTGAGAGGAATTCAGGGACACTGGGAGCTTCTCTACACATGGGCTTGGGCACATACTTAAAGGCTAATGCACACCTCAACATCCTTAATAGTTGTTAGGTTAGGTGGCTCAGGAGGCGGCGCAAGAAATAGAGACTCCAGTGAATCAGAAAAGAAAGGAAAGGAAAAGGTTTATTCTGCGTCCCCGGGAGACCCATGTACCCCAAGGAGAGGGCACGTGGATTCACGCCAACAGGGAGGGGGGCGCTTTTTTTATACTGCAGTTGGGTGAGGGGCGGGGACATGAGCTGAGGAATTCTCTGCTGCAGGGGATGGGCGGGGGTATGTGGATTAAGGGAGAAGAAGCCAGTATCTGTGTCTGGCACCTTGATCTGTGAGAAATTCCAGGGGGGGAGTCCATTATCTTGTCACATGTCTGCATGTATCCGATCCTGGGCTCTCTCCTCTCCCCTCTCCGACCTAACATCCTGAAGTCAATAAAAAAAAATATTAAGAAAACATGGCTCCAAGAAAACCTAACATTAGGTATGTGACTTCCATCCTATTTCTGTTGGACGGTGCTGGCTTAAATCCTTTGCTTATTTACTATTTATTGTTTATTGTAAACCCCACCCCCACCGCGTGTCTGTGCTTGGAGGGCAGCAGTTGACATATTTTGTTCACGGTCCTTTTCGTTCGCGGCCACACTCAGGTTTCCAGAGCCTGCGCTGGTTTTATTAAAGGTGTTCAGGAAGCATTTGTTTCATTGAATCCAGCGATCTGACTGCAGGTGAGCCTAGGAGGCCAGGAGAGCGCCAGGAGGGATCTGTAGGAACCCATGCTCCCGTCTCCACTGCCACCGCACAGGGCTCCACAGGTGACCTAGCCGACCCCAAGGAGCCCTTCTTGACGCCCCCCTCCCCCGCCCCCCACTGGATGGGCGGATGGGCCTGGGGTCTGGAACAGGGGAGCGATGCCGGCTGGGGCACCGCCAGGCTTGGGAAGATGGGAAAGAGACTGCCCGTGGAGGCGGAGGTGAAGGTGGAGGTGCGGGGACGGACACAGAGCCGCGGGGACCCGGGAGCTGTTTGAATGGCTCCAGCCCCGCCCGAGTCCCGGCGCACCCACCTCCGCCGCCGCGCACCTGGCAGCGGGCGTGCGGGCCCCGGCCCCCGTGGGCAGGGGTGCGTATTGTTGTCCGCGGGTCGGTGTGGGGTGTGTCCGGCCCGGGCTCACACAAGGTCATCGTGTCAAAGGAGCCTCCGAACACTTTCTC